GATGATGTTTGTCATGGCCGACATTTTTGAGATGCTTGCTTTGGTGGCGAAAGCGATGGGCCACAACCAGGCGGCTGTTCCGCCTGGTGCATGGGCCTCATGGTGGCTTTGCGTCAATTGTTTCGAAAGGACCACAAATCTTTTAGTTTGTTAGTGATAGCTCAATGAAGATCACAACAACACCAGCGGAGCTACATGCAAACCTGAGGGGGGGCTGCCCCCCCCCCGCCATAGGAAATTTACTGAAGAAACATTTTTAGGGGGCTAAATTCAGTAAAGTGCAGTCATTTGCCCCCCCCCCAAGCTTCATATTTTTTTCTATTCTGTCATCGTCCTGGGATCCGCCAGCACATCCGTCAGCTGCCTCGTCTCCCTCGCCTCCGGCTCGGTCAACGACGCCGACTCGCTCCTCGTCGCCCCGTACGTCGACGCCCACGCAACAACGCTGAACAGATCAAGGAAGGAGGCAATTGAGCTTGTCGTGAAGGACATTCTAGAGATCGTCGCGCTTCGCGTTGATGTGGCTATTGTGATGATATTCGTCATGGCCGCATTTTTGAGATGCTTGCTTTGGTGGCTTAGGCGATGGGCCACAATCAGGCGGCCGCGCCTCCTGGTGCATGGGCCTCGTGGTGGCTTTCCGTCAATTGTTTCGAAAGGACCACAAATCTTTTTGTTTGTTAGTGATAGCTCAATGAATAAGAGCACAACAACACGTAGCTACATGCAAACCTGAGGGGGCCGCTGCCCCCCCCCCAGGAAATTTACTGAAGAAACTTTTTTAGGGGCCTAAATTCAGTAAAGTGCAGTCATTTGCCCCCCCGGATCCGCCAGCACATCCGACAGCTGCCTCGTCTCCCTTGCCTCTAGCTCGATCAACGACGCCGACTCACTCCTTGTCGCCCCATACGTCGACGCCCATGCAACTACGCAGAACAGATCAAGGAAGGATGCAATTGAGCTTGTCGTGAAGGACATTCTGGAGATCGTCGCGCTTCTCATTGATGTGGCCATTGTGATGATGTTCGCCATGGCCGACATTTCTGAGATGCTTGCTTTGGTGACGGAGGCGATGGGCCACAACCAGGCGGCCGCGCCGCCTGGTGCATGGGCCTGGTGCTGCCTTTGCGTCAATTGTTTCGAAAGGACCACAAATCTTTTTGTTTGTTAGTGATAGCTCAATGAATAAGAGCACAACAACACGTAGCTACATGCAAACCTGAGGGGGCCGCTGCCCCCCCCCCAGGAAATTTACTGAAGAAACTTTTTTAGGGGCCTAAATTCAGTAAAGTGCAGTCATTTGCCCCCCCGGATCCGCC